TTTTCCATATTGTCTACTTAATTGCCATAACCCTTGTCAAAATTTAAAATTTCCTTGTCCAATTGCAGTCAGTGTCTGGAAATTTTAAATTGGCTGTTTATATAGAAACTAATACTTCACATTCTAGTAACTGATCACCTAAGTAATGATTTCCAACTGGTTATGATGGATGGCTTAACCCCTGAAAGTGCGAAACATTTCTATGTTTGTGTGAACACAACCTTTACTTCTGCATAAGGTGGGTTACAATAGCAGTAGCCAGCTTAATACCATCCTAAGTAATAGTAGTCACGAAAGTATAGTATTTATGTGCTGGTCATATTTTTATAATATCCAATAAAATAAAAAATCATTAAAATGACAATACTGTCACACTCCTCATGAAATTTTCTATGAATCATCCGTGGGATGTTGATTGATCAGTGGGACACATTGGCTTAAAAGGTAAAACCCAGACTTCAGAGTCCAAGACATGCCAGATTCTTTATAATCTCATCTCAGTTTCTATCTTTAGTTTTTTCCTATTATATACACATTTTTCCCGATTTTCTTGTTTTTTTTCTTATTTTTTTTTAACTCTTCCCTTTAACTTCTTCGCTTAGAATACTCTCATACCATTTTGCACATACTTTTCCTGGAACATTATTATAAACATTATTATATTTTATATACTTGGTTGTTCATATGCATTATTTCTTATAGACTGTGCTTTTTGCAGAATATCTGCTTCCTGGCTTTATGAAGCCAAGCCTTCAAGAATTACTATTTACTATAAATAATGCTTACAAACATCAATGATTTTTGAATTTTCATATTTACACAATTAAACACAAGAAAATCCTTTTTATTCTATTGCTTGACAATAGAATTATGATATACTTATCAGAGAAAATTTAGGAAAGTCTTAGAAATTCCTTTCTGCAAGGATTAGAATCTGGGATTGCTTTAAAGTAATTATTTGCTTTTGCAAGCCAGGCTTATGAATTCATTTACCATACAATTTTCTTAAAAACTTAGAACATACAGTCTTTTTGGTCTTGTGAGTTATGTGAAAAAGTTTCCATAGCCAAGGATCTTGTCAATTTACTGGAGAATCTCTTCATTTCCTGATCTCTGTCCTTGGCCCTTCATTCTTTCAGCAGTTGAGCTGAAATAACTTAGCATTACTTAGTTAAAAGCTTTGCTTTCACTGACAGAGAACTCTAAAAGTGAGATAATAAAGAAAGGTCACCATGAAGCCTTATCTTCATCTATTTAAGCTACAGATGCTGCTGCCTTGTCCAATCTTCTAAAGCCCTTGCTTACTGGACTCTGTCAATATCTTACTGTGGTTAGTGGTCAGAAAGTGCCTCAGAGCAGGGCTGGTCCATCTCTGCTTGCAGACTCCTTAAGTCTTGCTTAGTTTCATCCCATTCCTTGGTACCTTGCAAAAAACAACAGTAAGTAGCCAACATAAAAAAGTTCTCTGAAATTTTCTAATAACTTTCCCTAGATCTAGAGATGCAGGAAATAACATTACCAGCTTTCCAAATGACTGTTTTACCAAATGGTCTGCCATGGCGTGATCAGATTTGCCAGGTCTCCCTCCTGTTTCTCACTATGTGTTGTCCAATTCTGACTCGTGCTTCCTATCCTAGGTTTTGTTACTGTTTTATCCCACTTCTAGGTACAGATTTCTTTATTAGTTAGGAATAGAACCAGTAGGCACTGAAGCTCAAGTGAGAAATAAACTTATTTTGCTCTGTTATAACAATAGGAAGGTAAGTCTAGCAAGGCGGCTAGATGGCTCTGTAGCACAAGATCGTTGAAGCACCCAGGTTCTATCTGTGTTACTGCCTTGTCATCCACTGTTATATTTAGGTGCCTGTGGAATCCAAGGGCTCCGGCAGTGGGCAATTGCAAATGCTAAGAGTTCTCTTTCTAGATAATGATAGAATTAAACACTAGCTATATCTGTATGCTATGATTTATTACTTATATATATTAGGTCTGTTATATTAATCATGCAAGTTGCATATTGGTCATTTCATTGGTTTGAAGATCTAGTTATTCCTGACTAGCCTTTGCTCTCTTTAGAAAATATTAACTTCAGATTAGGCAGGTTTATCCAAAGTAAGAATACTTTGAGGGGTGTCCCAGGGTATAGGGTCTGTGCAGAATTTGTTATTGCTTATAATGTCTGGGGCTCTCAAGGAGGATGATGGCATCAGTAAAGGGAAAAGCTAAAATCAGGAGGAAAACAACAAACAAAACAACAAAACAAAAATAAAAGCACTAAAAAGGAAATGATTAAAAATCCTGTACAGATATTTGTTTGTTCCTTTGTTTTCCTCCCAAATGCCTCTGTGTGGTAGCCCCAGTCTGGTAGATTACATAGATAGAAACAAACATTTATTTAAATAAGAAGTGAGGGATACCTGGGTGGCTCAACGGTTTAGCGCCTGCCTTTGGCCTGGCTAGGGCGTGATCCTGGAGTCCTGGGATCGAATCCCACATTGGGCTCCTTGCGTGGAGCTCACTTCTCCCTCTGCCTCTGTCTCTGCTTCTCTCCCTCTCCCTGTGTCTCTCATGAATAAATAAATAAATAAAATCTTTAAAAAATAAATAAGAAATGAAAAAAAGAATACTAATGATATAATGATAATACATTGTATTTGTATGGCATTTTAGAATTTCCATCTTGCCTAGAAAATAAAACATAACCTTTGACAGAATGACATGGAAAGAAGCAGCGAAAAAGGGAGGTTCCGAAAGAGAATTATCTTTCAGGTAAGCAAGTGCTTTTTACAGAACCACGTGTTAATTCATCAATTTTGTGCAATGAGATGACGAAACTCCAATCTTCCGCTGAAGGAAAATAGATGAGAACTTTTATTGATCTTGATCAGGAGGATTACAGTGTTGTTGAATAAACAACACAATAAGAGTATTTTCTTAAATATAAAGACCAAATGAAACTGATCTACATTTATCCATGTAACAGTTTTGTGAGCTTCTTTGGAGATACATCTCTTTTAATACAAGCAAAGAAATAACGAGTGCCCTTTGTAATTATGCTGATACAAGGACAGACCAAGTAAGTCTGAAAGAGGAAATCCATCTAGAATCAAATGATTACATGCAGTGTGGATATAGAATTTGATTAAAATTTTAAATGAGCATTTTATTTTTAATAATTAAAATGTAATTCGGAAGGAAATTTTAGATAACCCCTATATTTCATTGAAATTGTGACTTTCCCATCTCTGCAATTTAAAAGACTGCATTATTAAGCATTATTCATATCTTGATCACCTTAAATATCAAGTGAATTATTTAGAGAAGTAACCTGAGACTTTCAGTGAATCATGTATATCTCCTTTGCATGACTCAATTTCTTTATTCTATGGAAGAGAAATAATATATATTTTGATGCAAGATATTGTTAAAGACAGAAACAAATGGACATATATTTCAAATCACTTCATTTTGAGAATAAACTTCCTTTTTAAAAAAGATTTTATTTATTTATTCATGAGAGACACAGATAGAGAGGCAGAGACACAGGGGGAGGAGAAGCAGGCTCCATCCAAGGAGCCCGATGTGGGACTCGATCCTGGGAATCTGGGATCACGCCCTGAGCCAAAGGCAGATGTTCAGCTACTGAGCCACCCAGGAGTCCCATAAACTTCCTTTTTAAGAGCAGTTTGTGATTTACAGAAAAATAAAGAATATAGTGTAAAGAGTGCTCACATGCAGCCTCACCAAATTTCTCTGATTATCAACGTCTTGTTTTACTATGGCACATGGTTACTCTTCATGAACCAATATCAACGCCATATTATTAACCAGAGTTCATAGTTCACTCATTTGTCTTCAGTTTTTATCTACTACCCTTTTGTGTTCCAGGATTGCATTCAGGATACCACATTACATTAGTGATGTAAAAGAGACAATAATCATTTAGATCTTTTATCCATTTTGAGTTTATCTTTGTGTATGGTGCAAGAGAGTGGTCTAGTTTCATTCTTTTGCATGTGGATGTCCAATTTCCCCAGCACCATTTATTGAAGAGACTGTCTTTCTTCCAGTGGATAGTCTTTCCTCCTTTATCGAATATTAGTTGACCATAAAGTTGAGGGTCCAAAAAAAAAAAAAAAGAGAGACATAATCATTATGTCTCTTTTGGCTCTGCCTGGCTGTGAGGGTTTCTCATATTTTCCCTTGTTTTTGATGTCCTTGAGCATTTTGAGGGTTGGTCAGGGATATTGCAGGGTGCTCTTCTCTTTCAATTTGCCTGATATTATTCTCATGATTGGGCAGGGGTTATGAGTTTGGGGGAGGCAGATCATAGAAGTAAAGTTTCATTTTCATCACATCATATCAAGGGTACAAACTATCAATAGGATTTGTGATTATTGATGTTGACACTTAATGGATGTGTTTGTCAAATTTTTCCACTGTAAATCTTTTGTCTCCCCTTGTCCATGCTGTAATCTTTCCAAGAACATCTCTATGCCTAGCTAACACTTAATGAGTGTGGAGCTATACCACTTGTTCTTTTTTTTAAAATAAGAAAAATTTTATTTTTAAGATAAAACAAATACTACAAACACATCCGAACACAAGTGAGTAAGTTCACTGGGTTTTATAAACGAGAAAGCTGCACTCAGGTGTTGGTTAGAACTAGAAACATAAAGATGTCCCCTGCTTCTGATGGCATGGGTACAACATGTGCTTATCTAAGAAGTTGTTTTGTGGTGGCATAAACGTGGAAATATATGACACGAGTGAAGTGATACAAGAAAGAAATGCAGGTGGGTGAAAGCTTTAAGACCCTTCCCACCACCCTAATGTGCTCTTGTTTTGCTTTGGGGAATTAAAGCAATCTGCAAGTCACCTTACAAAGAACTTAATGTCCGAGAACACTTTCAAATACCTAAAAGAGATTCAAGATTGTTACTAAAGTTATACAGGGAGGTCAGTAGGAGAAAATAGTTTATGTTCTCAGAACCCAGGTTTCACACAATTATGAAAAGAAGAGGCTGATCTAAGTAAAGACTGGTCTTATTCATGATGTGCAGGAACTTCTCATTGACTTCTCTATCTCCATTGTGATCAGCTTCATCGATCATTTTCTGCAGCTTCTCATCAGTGAGGTTCTCACTCGACTCCTTGGCCACGTGCTTTAGATTTTTGAATCTTATCTTCCCAGTTTCATCATCATTGAAGAGCTTAAAAGTTTTCAGAATTTCTTCTTTGGTATCTTTCTCAGATATTTTCTGAGTCATCACAGTCAAAAAGTCACTAAAGTTCATTTTTCCTGTCCATTCCCTATCGATTTCACTTATCATTTTCTTTCTTTTTTAAAAAAAATGTTTATTTATTCATGAGAGACAGAAAGAGAGAGAGAGAGAGAGAGAGAGAGAGAGAGAGAGAGAGAGAGGCAGAGACATAGGCAGAGGGAGAAGCAGGCTCCCTGCAGTCATCCTGATGTGGGACTTGATCCCAGGACCCCAGGATCATGACCTGAGCCAAAGGCAGAGGCTCAACCACTGAGTCACCCAGGTGACCTCTCTTATCATTTTCTTGATCTCTTCTTTCTGGGGTTCCAAGCCCAGTGCCCTCATTGCCATTTTAAGTTCCTTAACATCTATGGTCCCAATTCCATCAGCATCAAAGAGATCAAAAGCTTCCTGGGTTTCCTGTTTCTGTTCTTCAGTCAGCTCCAGCTTAGAACTCATCCTTTCCTTTGTCGATGGGTAGATGATGCCATGCTTGTCTGCCTTTGCTGATGGACTCCACTGCCCTTTGTTATGACAACTCTATCCCTTGTTCTTTAGAACAGAATAGCTACATATGTTATTTGGAATTTTTCTGCATGGAAGATTTGTCTCTTTTTTCTCATTTATTCATTTATATAATCATTTATTTTATATCAGTATGAACCCATAAATGTTTATTTTATACTGTGGGTTATAATATAATGCTACTTAATTTACTTTGTTGCTCCGGTTACTCAAACTTTGGTCACTGGAAGCTCTTATAGTTGACTTCTGTGCCCTCTGACATAGACCCACAACATGTATTTGTTTTTTTTTTTCCACTTTCATCCTTTCTGGCATTGTAAAGTGCTCTGGGTTCATCTTGTGTATTTCCTGCCTCAGGCCTAGAATAAATGATTTTTCTAATGACCCGTGGTTCTTTTTATTGGAGAATGGTACTAGAAATAGTCTGCTAGGTGTGTTCTCTGCTGTTGGAGCCTTGTTTCTTTTAGCTCTGCCAGCTGACTGAGCAAAGAAGTATATGTGTATTTGCTAACCCATTTATGTATACAAATATAAAAATATTGCTATACTTCATTCAGCTAAACATGGGCTCCTACTGATATGTCTAAGACTAATCAATATCACATGGATCATTCTAGCCCCTGCTCCTTACTTTACCTGTAAAGTTCCATTCCAACAATGAGCAACCCAGCTGCATCACCTGCCATCTATTTATTTACTTGTCCTAGTCTAATATAAGTGTATAGCAGCATTAAAATTGTGAATGCCTAAAATTATGAATTCCCCATGGGGAACAGGTTTGTCCACTAGATTGCAGACCTCATGTGCAATTCGTTCGGCCTTTAGTCTCAGAACCCATTCATTTCCAAACTTACTTATGTCAGCACCTTTTCTCCCATCTTCTTCATAATATGCAGAGAAGATGAGAGAAGAAGAGAGAATTGCAGCTCTCCCTTGAACCTCCAGTCTGATGGCTCACTGCACTCTGCAGATTTTGAACTTGTGAGTCTCCATAATAGTGTGAGTCAACGACTTGAAATCTCTCTCTGCACACACACACACACACACACACACACACACACACACACACACATTCTCTCTCTCTCTCTCTCTCTCTCTTTCTCTTTCTCATTCTCTCTTTATTGGTTCTATTTCTTTGGAAAACCCTTGTCTGTCCTAGTGTTGATGATGAAAAATAATTGAATGATTTATAAATCAGATAAATCTGAGTCACAGTGACTTAGATACTCATTATAGTATATATTTTTTTCAGTGCTAATAGCTCTTGTGTTCTTTGTTTTTCAATCTTAAGTAGTTCCTATCCATGCTCAGTATAGCTTAACCTCAAAGGCTAGATTAGGGAAAATGATAGCAACATTATGGTATGTGGGGGTAGGGACATAGGTAGGCTACGTCTAATTATATTTCTAGATTTTTATCATAGCTCTAGAGAAAGAACATCTTTGCTGGTTTACAACTTATGTGAGTTGTAGTTTTCTTTAGTAACTGCAGAAGTAATTACTATGAGATTCAGGAGCATATTTTTTTAGGAAGAATGTTTTCTTTGTGACATTACCTTATGCTTCCCCTAACTATAATACTGAGAAACACCCAATTCTATTTGGCTCTAATGCAGAATGATGAAAGAGAAGAAATAGATGACTTAAAGTGAAGTAAACCAAGGGGTACCTCTTGGGTCCTTCCCTTATGGTATAGCCTTGGATAAATTTTTGTGCATCTACTCTGGTTTCTTCACTTGTTTACATGGTATGATGGTTAATTTTATGTGTCAGCTTGATGAGGCTATGGGGAATGCAGATATTTAACCAAAATTATTCTGAGTGTGTCTGTGAGGGTGGTTCTGGATAAGGTTAACATTTTAAATTAGTAGCCTGAGTAAAGATTGCCCTCTCTAATACGGATGGACCTCATCTAATCAGTTGAAGTCTTAAACAGAACAAAAAGACTGAGGGGAACTCTTCTCTGAACTGAGACATTAGTTTTATCCTGCTTTTGGAAAGAGACATTGTTCTTTTTGTGTCTTGAGCCTGTTGGCATTCAGCCTGGAGCTATACCATCAGCTCTCCTAGGTCTCTGAATTGTCAACTACAGATTTTGGGACTTACCCTTCATAATCACATTGGAGCAAAGTCCATATTATAATACATACATACATACATATATATATGACATATTGAATATATATACACAGATACATACATGTCATATATATATATATACAAATATATATGCACACACACAAATACATATATATCTTATTGGTTCTATGTCTCTGGAGAACCTTGACCAATAGTTTCTTTATATTACTGTTTTCAAATACTAAAGACACTGCAGTAAGAAATACATTTTATATAGTGACCCAGTAACCATTCCACTGACATATATGTATACATATATATGTAAGATAAAGTTTGCCTTTTCTGCAAAACCATTTTCATATCAAACATCATTTTATCAATATCTATTAGAGCATAAGAAATATTCTGAAACCAACTTTCTATAAGTTAGAAAATAATTAACTTAACATGATAAATATGTCTGGCTGTCCATAATATACAAAGATAAAGTCATGTACACTGTATATGTCTCGTTGAGTTTTTTCCTTCCATTTCTCCATCTTCATCAAGGATGAAAATTCTGAGTCAATTAAGTAAGTTGTGAATAATAATAATTTTCTTTCTGTTTCACAGTATAAGGAATGAATTAATCTTAATCTAAAATCACTATAATATCTGGCAATTGCTTTTCAATGTAAATAAAGAATGAAATTGTAATCATTGTAATGAACTCTAACAATAAATGAGTTGTAATAATTTAGTCCTTTAGGTGTGACGTTTAATTCAATTATTTATGCAGAGTTTTGAATAGTAAATAGAATTTTCTTCTAAAAGTTTTTCTATTTTCCTCAATAAAGGAATGATTAAAAGTTTGAGACTGATAAATAAAATGTAAATATATTTCCAATTTTATTTCATTCAAACCTCCTTCATTATTAATGCCCTCTTCAATGTGATACAACATATTTTGGGAACATGTGGAAGATAGGGTTGATGACTTTGAGTCTTGTTTGCCATAATAGTAATAATACTTTTGGAAGCCTTCACATATGTTGACAATATTGTTAATTTTTCCCTCAAAAGTTTAGTCCATAACGAATGCTTGAAATGCCAGTTAAATATACCACTTTTATTACCAAAATACCACATAGAAAGTATCTGCCAACTGGAGTTGCTTTACATTTAGAAAAACGTGAAATTCACTTTTGAGCTCCCAATCTGTCAAGAATTTTGAGGTGTCTGAGATTTTGCCCTTTTCCTAGTAAAATCCAGGAGACTCCTGGGACAGAGATGAAGAACTTATTACTCATGGCAAATGAGGTAGCATGAGCTTCATATTTCTCTTGCTTCCCAAATCCCATGGGGGTGACATGAAAGTGGCTGTGGTCAAAGCTGCACATGCAGTAGATGTGTGTGTCACACTTAAGAAACTCGAAAACATTAATTTTTTTAAAAAGATTTTATTTATTTATTCATGAGAGACAGAGAGAAAGAGAGAGAGAGAGAGAGAGAGGCAGAGGCACCTGTAGAGGGAGAAGCAGGCTCAGTGCAGGAAGCCCGATGCGGGACTCGATCCAGGGACTCTGGGGTGACGCTCTGGCCTGAGGGCAGGCACCAAACCGCTAAGCTACCCAGGGATCCCCAGAAACGTTAATCTTTTTAAAAAGCTTCAAGTAAGCATGTCCAACCTCTGGCTGAAAGGAAGGCATTATCTTTATTATCATGGACATCATACAAATTCCCTTGTTTCAGAGGAGACACCATCTCTGTTTTCCAACATTTCATGCCATCCAGACATCCTTGAAAATGTATTCTGGAATAAAACTATCTGTGTTTCTGTTTGCAAGATATACAGACATGCAAGAGACACATGGCAAATTGTCTTCGAACACAATCTCAGGAAAAGTCCTGGGACAATCAATATATTTCAGGGTGATATAAGAAGTTTAATTAATCTTTGACAAAAATATTAGATATCATCTTATCACTAAGTTGTATAGTTATGAATTTTCCAGCTACTATATCATTTAAAAAATCATACTTTAGATTTCCATACATACTTTAAAGAATAATTTTTTGTGAAAGTCATGTGGGGACATATTAACAAGTCAGTTGGTGGTATTTGGCGATTATTTTTTCAATTTCCAAGTTTTAAATCTTTCTTTTGCGGACATCATTAAAATTAATATATTGTAATCTGTTATTTTTATTGAGGTTTGTAAATGTAATAAAATTATTTTCTAAATTTGTTATGATCAATTTTTTTTAAAGCATGAAGTTCAAATGAAATGAAATAGAAGTTTGCTGAGGTACAGAGTAATTTGTTTCAACTATTGTCACTACTTACTCTTTAAGTCCCAGTATTATATCTTAAACATATCCTATAATTTTCATGTTATCTTATCATATTTAACATAATAAAGCAATTTTTTATGGACAATTTGTTTCAATTTAATTAAAATAGTACTCTGAAAAAAAATAGTACTCTGACCCTCAACTAAGAGACTGTCATACTACCATAAACCTTTTAAAAAATGCACAGTAAGTTTGTAACAAAAATCTCCTTGGAATACATGATTTTGCCACTAGCAGGTAAAAATTATTTTCCTGATTCACAAGCCACTGTAAATTATGGTAATACAAAATTAAATTGTGAAATCTTAATCTGCCAGTTATAATAGACAAAATCAAGAAATAAAATTTAATCATTTTCCAGCCAATGTGTGCTTCCAGTGAGTGCATTCCTCCCAGGTCTCCTTCCCAGTCTTCTTACAATCTACTGCAATGCTTTTTTTATGATGTTTTTATTTCTTCCTCTGGATTTGTGAGGGGTGCTTACAATATGCTATGCTGTGTTGTTTTATATTCCATCTTATCCCATTCTATTCTTCTATTCTACTTCCATTCCATCCTAGTCCATCCACTTCATTAAAAAGATAGTAGTCGGAACTCAGTTTATTTCATCATCCATTAATGGTTTTTGATATGCAGTTTAAAAAAAAAATATCAGGCAGCCCTGGTGGCGCAGCAGTTTAGCGCCGCCTGCAGCCCGGGGCGTGATCCTGGAGAGAGTGGATGGAGTCCCACGTCGGGCTCCCTACAAGGAGCCTGCTTCTCCCCCTGCCTGTGTATCTGCCTCTCTCTCTCTCAATAAATAAATAAATAAATCTTTGGAAAAAAAATGACACAATTTATATGTTAAAACAACAAAAGTTGTTCCCAAATCTAAGAGTAAGAGTCATGTAATTTCTTCTAATAGAGATATTGTTTTGGATTTAAAATGATAACAGAAAAATACTACACAAGTATAAAACATGGGTATAGTATATATTTTAGAAAAGTTACGTTTATCTGACCCCAAAATGTATGTTTTCTTTGATAAAATATTCTTTGATCCACAAATCTACCAGTCTTCAAAATTTGAAAGAGGGAAGCAAAAGACTGTTGTTATATATTCTTGCCTATTCTGATATGGATTGGATAAATTGTGTCACAATACTTTTTTTTTTTTTTTGGTTTCTAGATCATAAATTATCCTGTTCGTGCAAGTATCAGGTAATTAGTTCCTCCCTCTGCATATATGTAATGTCCTTGAAAGGATGTCAAATGAAATTAAATGAAAAACTCAAAAAAAAATAAATAAATGAAAAACTCTTGTTTTGGGGCACCAGGATAGCTCAGTCCATTAAGTGTCTGCCTTCAGCTCAGGTCATGATCACAAGGTCCTGGGATAGAACCTTGCTTTGGGCTCCCTGCTCAGTGTGGAGTGTGCTTGTCTCTCTCCCTTTGTCCCTCCTCCCTCCCATTCTCTCTTCCTCTGTCTCTCTCTCTCTCAAATAAATAAAATCTTAAAAAAAAAAGAAAAAAGAAAAGAAAAACTCTTGTTCTGTGCTCTGAAAAACAGTTCTAGAAAAGAACTGTCAGAAATGGGTGAGAAAGATCATTTTGCTACTTGAATTATCAAATATATTTGCTAAAGTTTCTCTGAAGATTTATTATAATATGATGAATGCCAAATGACAAGATAAGATCTATTTGTCCATGCATTGAGGATGTGGAATCAAATTGGTTTGAGTTATTAGCACATTTTATTAGTTGGTGTGAAAAATGTATCGAATATTTAAAAAGAATAGAAGAGTACTAAGTTAAATAATTTGTTAAATGTCCAGTGATGATACATTTCTAAAACTTATGATTACAAAGTTAAATATTCTATCTTTTAAGTTAAAAAAGAAATCCCACTGTTATGCAATGTAGTTTTTGCAGGGAGTAGTTATTTTTCTTTGTATGAAATCTTAAAGATAATTAGCTTATGTGAGAAAGGAAGCTAGAAGTACAGCTAGAGGTACTTTTTTAAAATCTTTTCATCCATTTATTCTTTCTTTTTCTGATGGCTTGTGGTCAAGGTGGCACTATTGTATATGGAATGCTTTTGTTTGTTTTTTGTTTTCTTTTTTAACTTTGGGAGCAAGGCTTGTTGAAATGAATTTCCTACAAAGTATAGTTTCCATAGCAACTGTAACTGTCTTTTATTTTCACGTGTACCATTTAGAATTAGTTGACAATAATAATTATAGACTTGAAGATAAAACATTGGCTGTACAGCAAAGATGTGTATAAAGACATGGTTTCAGGAAAATTGTCCTGGTGTGCAGAAACTGAAATTACTTTTTAAGGAAGATTTGGTTTTCTTACTTAGATGATTGAAATTCTACCTATATATTCAGTGTGATTATTGCTATGTGCCAAGAAACATCTACCTCCCATAATTTGAAAATCTCATTTGTTGCCCTAAATTTTTTATTATTTCTCTCTTTCCCTTTGTCTCTTTCTGTGTGTGCGTGCATGCACCAAACTTGTCAAAACTTTTCTTTAGTTATTATTTCCTTGAAAATAACTGGAGTATTGAACAATAGAATAATGTAGAAAATTTATATATGACCATTATCTTCCTTTAATTAAAAGCCGCTTAGACTGTAGACATTCTAAAGAAGGCATGATAAATGGCATATAATTGGAAGAAATGTCACTCAACTTAGAACAGGAAAAGAAAATCCAAAAGTTAACCTGTTACTTCACATTTAGTTGTATCATGTTGAAAGCTAAATGTGTTTATCTACCTCAATGGTTTTACATGAGTTAATACATAAACATCAAAGTATTTTTCAGAATAATTGGATTATTACTAGTGCTTTATTAAAATACTATCATATTCAGTGTGATTGTCAGAAACGAATAAAAGAGGATTTAAATTATTTTGAAATCTCTCCCTGAAATATCCTTTTATTAATGCTATTTCCTTGTTGAAATATAAAATTAAGTAGCATGGTGATAATTTTTTTGTGTGTGGTCCTAAATTTATTATTTTATTTTATTTTATTTTATTATTTTTATTTTTAAAATTTTTTTATTGGAGTTCAATTTGCCAACATATAGCATAACACCCAGTGTTCATCCCGGCGAGTGCCCCCCTCAGCGCCCATCACCCGGTCACCCCGAATGTGCTAAAAATTTTGTGCAGCATAACTAACTTTGGTGCACTTCAGTACACAATAGTGATAAAAAAGGAAGCATAAGCAGATGAGAATTCTCATTATAACACTTTGGATGCAAGGGTCCAGTGGGGTAAATAGTGTGCTGTGATGAGATGCTGTGGATAGTGGAGGAGGTAGAGGATGACTACTAGCTGCTATTCTGAGACCAACTGTAGCAATGAATACTCTAGTCACCCACCAACTCTTTTTTCTAAATTTTCCTTTGGAAAGAGAGACCCATGGTATTCATGGAGGGGCGACTTCTGAAGATGTGTGGAGAAACTGACCCAAGCAGTTCCGGGGCTTGATGTTGGTGGCCATAAAAATCCACTGCTCAGATCTCCTCCTGAATGGAACATGGTTGACTGACAGGCTGAGCTGTTGTCTTCTGAGTGCAGGGCCATTTCTAAAAGAGATGGACTACTTTTTCTCACGACTCTCTGTCAACTTGGTTGACATTTTCTCAGAACTGGCCTATTATCAGAGACTCTTTTTTTACCCAATCCTTCCTCTTCACAGATGCCAGATTTACATCATGATCTGAAGGTTCTTCCCACCTTCCCTAGACTCCTGTTTATCCTTCAAAGGTCTTTTTTCCCCCCAAGTAAATGTCTTACATGTCATCAGTATTACAATAGTCACCCATCTTGGCATCTGCCTCTCAGGGGACTTGAATTAACATAGACTTTGAGAAAATATAAATAATTTGGTGGTGGATGTGGTAATCATGAGATAGGCATCAGACATTCAGGTGTAGATATGGAACAGGCAGTTACATGCACAAATCTGAAGATGTAGATAGAAATTTGGGGGTTGACTATCAGTGATATATTTAAGCCATGAAACAGGATGGACAATGTATATAGAGAGGAGAAGAGGTCTGAGGATTAAGCCCTGATTGAACATCAACCAGAAAAGATGAGTGAGCTGGGGGTCAGGGGGAAATTGGGAGAGTGCAACGGGCAGAAAGTGAAGTGAAGAAGGTGTTCCAGGGAAGTTGCTAATCCTGGAAAATGCAGCTGATGAATCAAGTAACATGAATTTTGAGAATTAATGATTGAATTTAGCAATGATGCGGTAATTGCGGACCTTGAGAAGAATGTGCCATAAAGGAGACCAGGGAGTAGGGGGTTTCCTAGAGGATGACATAGATTCTAGGAGTTGTAAAAATTCATTTGTTTGTTTTTTATTTTTAAGATGGGAAAATTAATCAAGTTTATATGTTGATAGAAATGATCCAGTAGTGAGGGGGAAAAATAATGGTATAATAGGGAGAGGGGATAGGCTTTTTGAAGCAATGTCTTAGAATTGGAGAGGAGAAATAGGATGGACAGTTTAGTCCACAAAATAGGAGGGAAGGCAAAGTGAATAGGCACAGGTGGAAGTAGGTGGATAAATGTGGGTGTCGGCCCTTGTGGAAAATTTGATTCTATTTTCCGAGTGAAAGTGCAATGAAAAGGAGGTGTTAGAGGTCTATATTTATCCAGAGAGAGTGAATACATTCAGGAATTGCAGTATGATTGCCTTGCAGCATTAAGAACCCATTTGGGGTTGTAGTTGAGAATGTAAAATGAAAGCAGTCTGCATACATTGGTTTTTTTTCTGTACTCATGATCAGCTTTTTGGGGGCAGCCACAAGTAGGCAGTAGATTGGATTTAATTAGGACTTGGGTCTCACTGATTCAATACCAGGAAGGAAGAGAGGAGATTGAGGAGATAAGCAAGGGAGTGATTCTAATATAAGGCGAAGGAGGATGCTTCCCATTAGCCCTAAAGACATATCACAGAAGCAATTGCCAGTGAGGTTTATGAGTAAAATTCTCCTTTGTGACATTTTTATTTCATGTATCAGCATGGCTTGGAAAGAAGTTTGGGGGTGGTGGTGCTTTGTGAAGGAAAAATCACCAGGAGAAGCACTAAAACACATCATTTGCCAACCTATATCTTGGACCTGAATTGAAGGATTGGTAAGACAGAAATATTAATGGCTAATATTTCAAAAGAATAGGCTTTTCATGTTAACAAAATATTTCAGGGGAAATGTTTGTCAAAGCATTCATTTTACCCAATGATAATATTTTGCTTGGATAACTTGGGCCAGCATATATATTTTCTGCAAGAGCTTAGTCAAAAGATTTTAATCAGAGTAAGAATTCCACATTGAAACACAGCACTGAGATTTCTACCTCGGTTAACTTCTTTGTGCATCTAATACATTATACTTAATACTAATTTGCATGAAAATGATAAATGCAACAATTCTTTGTATATATAAGGAAAAAAACATTAAAACATGAACATCATGCCACTTCTACTAGAGATGCCATAGTGATTTCTTAAAATTGCTCTTTTAGGTGCTCAAGCATTACCTCTGTGCACACAAATGTTTTTAATTTGTGTTCTCTAAATAGCTTAAAGAAAGCCAATAATTCCATTATTTATATTTCCAAATTAAATACATTGTTTTACAGCAATAATTCTTATATTTATGAAAAATATCATGTTTTTTAAATGAAAGGATATAAAATTATTTCATGTTACTTAAATTAAACTTGGTTTTCTTATATGTACATTGTTGAATAAGTACGCTGATATTTTATCTAACAGCAAAGTTGACTAAGCAGTGGTATTTAAAATTTCCTTTTGAAATGTCCACATCTTGACAAAATATATACTGCTAACATACCACATTTGTGAAGAACATGTTTAGAATCTTTGGTGGTAGAAAAAATATCTCTACGGAATACATACAGTTTTTTCATTTTTATTTTCTAGCTATTAATTATTCTAAAGATAATGTTTTTCTTGTCTAATAATGACTATAAAGCATGACAACAACTGTTCCTTATAAGCACCATTCCACCTCTGAGAATAAGCTGAAATTTTTCTTAAGGCATATTAAACCTCTCCATCCACAAGAAATTGGCTTACCTGCTTACGAAGTGAATCCCTATCCACAAGTTGTGTGGCAATAATGAAAGCTATGACTTTTAGGAGTATCATTTTCAGGGTCCAGCACATTGGGATTCATTCCTGGCTCTGTCACCTATATACGGGGCATGTGAATTTAAGCAGGTTATTGCACCTTCTTATGCCTCAGTTTTTATTATCTGTGTTCCCCTCACATCCTCGAATAGAATATTAAATAAGAGAATAGGACTTACTCTGGCATAAGAATCTCTAGTGCCCTCCACAGACAGGTCTAAATGAATATTAGTTGAATGAATAAATGTAATAAACTAATACTTAAAATAGTATAGTAATAATTGTTTAATAGGGACATTTTGGGATTAATGACACAATACATGATGAGTATAGAGCACAGACCTGCCAGAGCAACTATTCCTAGTGGGGAGAGCTCTAGAGAAACCATGGTATGCTTGGCTTCTGTATCTAACTTCTGTTTCACCTTCAGACTACAGATGGAATTTATACTAGAATTAGTGACCCTATGCTATGCTTCAGCACCTGTGAATTGTGTGAGAGGGAAAATATTTATTTTATTACTATTCATATCTCCTAAATCTTTCATAATATTTGGGAGAAGTGGAAACAAACCAAGTGGATTAAAATATTTTAGCATACCATCTAAAACTCATGACATCACTGAAAATGTTTTCAGAACTTAAGCATGCATGCCAGAAAACTAGAAGTATTATATATGATATTTTATGAAGATGCATATTTAAAATTTTTATATATCCAAAATCTGGATGCATTTTTATAATCAGGGGCCTCTTATAATTGACTGGCTTCTCTCTTCTTTTCTTCCTTCCCTCCTTCCTTTTCCTTCCCTCCCTCTCTTTTTTTTTTTTTTTGGTGGTTATTAATATAATAGGGTATTTTAAATAGACTTGATGAACTATGGTATAGCCATATATTAAAGCAGTATTTCTCAATGTGTATTTCTTATCACCACCCAACCCTGGCAAAGAGCTTCTTAGGCATTTTTTCTAACTTTCCACCCCATGAAATTTTAACACCATAGATATAGTCTATATCTGTTCAGGTACTGCATGTATATATCTGTTTTATGAAAAAAAGGACTGATATTTTTGCCCCCAAGAAGCAATTTCATCCCCTTGGGGGCACCATTAAACACACTGAAAATGCAGGTGTTAAAGTGATACTCCGTATCACTCTTAGTTTTAAAATATCCTTTACTAGAATATTGGGAATCATAAACTAATTCTTAGGTTTAGAACTTTTGGTTTTAATCATATAACAGAATGTCTAGGAATTTTACTATTGTCACGGAGGACTGTCAAATGCTGCCAAAATGTGTGCAAAGTTTGAACATTTGCTATTTGCCCTAACAGTCAGAAAGCTATCCATAATGTTTTGTTAACAAATAAGAGATCCTCAAGTTCAACCAGTGATATCATTCAACATATCATTCTCATTTTATGAAATAAGACTGTTTAATAATTTCAGTGTATATATTTAGGATATTCACTACTTCACCTTTACGTATTTGTGATTTTTAAAGACATTTGAACACTACATCAATAAAAAGAGTTTTTAAGACCATCCGATTTCCCAGGGGTACAGAAGACTCTTGCTTTAGACTACACTACTGCACTCAGTGGGGAGAATGAGGATGCACAATTCTTGAAGCCTCTATACAGCACTCTTCTGTTGCTGGCTAAGCAGTTTGGGGATTCCTATCTCCAATAATAATGATAGAAATCAGAACTTAGTCCCTCTGTGACCAGTGGTTTGCACCAGAAGGAAGAGGGCGTCACCATCTATGGTCGTCAAATCAGGATTGTTGCTTGCAAAGCTAATTTTTGTAATTAACAGCTTTAGCTGATGGAGAAAGGAATGATTTATTTACTTGGAGAATGTCTTTAAATGGCAAAGTTGTTCAGTATGTTCCTAAATATTCATTTTTCTCTGGGCTATGCAGTTTAAGTCCCATTCTCTTACGTTAATGGTGCAAAGAACTTCTGATTCGTGATACATAAATTTTTTAACTTTGTCATAGGTACTGTATTATTTTATATTTGACAATTCAGACATTTGACCTACTTGTACTGGGTGGTGTTAAATGACTATTTTTGAGACTCAGTGTGCAGTTTGTTTGGGAGAAGTGAACTATTCTAGCAGACCAAGCAATAGATTGGTAAAAACTAACATGGATAGTACTCAAAAGAGACTCTTCAACAGTATACAGACATCCATATCAAGGCTTTATCAGTTGAGTTAGTTGTACACAAGCTTTTGTAAATAAATTGCAAGTGAATTCAAAACCAGAAATCATCTCCTCCACTGCTCCTAGTACTTGCCCTTTCTCTGCCTTTTAACCGAAGCATCTCCATGATACTCCGGGCATAGACATCTCTCAAGTTAACACTGATGTATGAATCAGTGGCTATATTCTTGGTCAGCTTCTTCAGCGCTT